GACTAAGGTCTGTTCAAACAATTCAAGTTCTGCCACAACAAACTGTGTTTTGAATATAAAAAGGAAAATTATGTTTCAAAACTCCTCCATTAATCGCTACAGCTCATTCTGATTTTGATATGATAAGCCTATCGTATCCATTTATATTTTTATTCTGTTAGTCTTGGCAAGTGTATAACATGAAAAGACATCCTTTGCACAAAATAAATTATTTTTGAAGTGATGTTTACAATGGATTTAATTACACACACATCCAAACTCACTCTTCTGAAATAAAAGGTTGTTATTTATTTGACATTTCCTAAGCAAAGTTCCAGAATGTCTAATATTACTTTCCGTGTTATCCTAATGGTAAAGGAAATACTTATAAAATTGGCTTACAGATTGTCTTTTTTTGTTTGACTTGGCTATTACATGACAAATTGTTTACTTCAAGGTAATACACTAATCTAACATAATCCCCCCCTTGCCAAAGGAAGAGGGGAGATCAGCTATCACACTACTGATTTAATATAATCCAGGATTTTGTTTCTTTTACAAAAAAAAATATTGATAGTTAAATAATGAAGAGCTCAAACTAATAAGAGCTTGCTTTACTACTTTACTACTTTATTGAAGTAGTAAAGATGAATATAAATATAACTTCACTTTTTGCTCACCCCTACATGAACAACATGTTTCTGAGGAAATCACTCTCTTTCAGTCTGTCTTTCCTGGCTTCCAAACTACTACTGGGCTATTGGATCACCTTTAGTCTGGAAGTGTAATGTAGTTTGCTTGTCACCCTAGTTGCCAAAATTCTATGCCTCTGGCATCTGGACCTGACCACAACTGTCAAAATCAATGAGAAATTAACTGATTCTATGAGGTAATTTTATGTTGCAAAATCTGAATTTTGCAAAATCTTTTGCAAAATCATTTTATTCTGCAATTTGCTTCCTGCTGTATCTTTATTTGCTGAATTTATTATTTAGTTTGTCAGTTTCTGGACTCAGGCATCTAGGTATTCTATAGGTAGAATGCTCTTCTGATTTAAAATAAAAATAGGCAATTGATTTTATTATCTTTCATGATTTTCCTTCTAGATCTTATATCAAATGCACCGTGACTTAATATTCTATTCTATTCTATTCTATTCTATTCTATTCTATTCTATTCTATTCTATTCTATTCTATTCTATTCTATTCTACTCTACTCTACTCTACTCTACTCTACTCTACTCCATCCCGTCCTGTCCTGTCCTGTCCTGTCCTGTCCTGTCCTGTCCTGTCCTGTCCCGTCCCGTCCTGTCCCGTCCCGTCCCATCCCATCCCATCCCATCCCATCCCATCCCACCCCATCCCATCCCATCCCATCCCATCCCATCTTCATAGCCAATAAAGGACCATATGGATTGTTATCAATCACACTGCTTATCCATGTTTATCAATCACATTATCTTACACTTCAGTTTTGTACGATTTTACAGACAAATCTCTGGATCCTGCCCCTATAACAACTCTGGAATAGACCAGAATGTGGCAGTTCATTTATCATGGATTGAATCCTGAGTTTTTAAACTCTCACTTAAAAAAAGAAATAACCTTCCTTTCCCAAAGAACAGAAATAATCCAAACTTCCAAACTTCAGTTCAGGTTAATGATGTTGAAAGACAGCTATCATGTACCATCAGTAACTTTTTTTAAAAAAATCTCTCTAGATACACATGGCAAGAAAACAAAATTCCCAGGAAGTAAAATACAGTGAATCCTTCTTACACTTGACTGTATAGACCAAATAAGGATTGTCATTCATTTATGTGTTTATTCATTAGAAGAAGAAACAAACAAACTCAAATTGTGAATTTGTGAGCAGAAATGCCAATGAAGTTCCAAGTTAGTCTCAGAAAAAAACTGGGGGCTCATTAATGCCCATTTCAAAGGAGATATCCATTGCAGAGAAGAATGTGTGGCTTGTTCTCTTCAGTCTCTTCTTATACTGCTCTTCATGTATCTGGGGTAAAAAAACAGAAGAACCACTATTCTTCCCCCCTCTCTTTCAACATCACTGTATTGCATTGTCTGAACATACAGCTGGAGGAAAGAATTGTAGATCTTATATCTGTCTTCCATTGCAGTAACCCACTGGAAAGTGACAAATCCCAATGTTCACCATGACAAGAAGGAGAGGAAGAGACATCTTAATTCTATATAAACTTTTATTAGTATCTTTCATTTGCTGCATATGATGCATGGAGGGATAAAAAGTCTTCAATTGTTCAAGCTGCCACTGATTCTACCACTGGCCAGATAGTAATAATGGAAAGAAAATACCAGGGAATGCAAAGCATCAGAAAAAAGAGTTCTGATATTGTCTTGAAGGCACTAAATAAGTAAATAAATCTAAGAGGTAATTAAATTTCAACATGAACTGCATCATTATCACCTGAGGAGGAAAAAGCTATCGCTCAGTGATAGAACAGCCTGCACAGGGAACTGACAGGTTAAGCTCTTGGCATCCTGAGTTAAAAAGAAGACTTGGATGACAGGACTCCTGTCAGGACCTGGAGTCAACAAAGTACAAGATGATTTGCCATCATGAGCGCTTAGGAGAAGAAATATGATGCAAATCTTTTGGACTAAGTCCCAGAATAAAAGGCAAACAAATAAACAAAAACCGAACCCCAATCAGATTCCTCAATTATCAGCTGTTAGATAATAAATAATTCTTACAGTAATCATACTGCAATATAAAATAGCTAGTCATATCTGTGGTTTCATATAACTATATTAAAACAAGTAACTTGTTATTTCCTGGTCAGTCATCTTTCTGTAGTGTTTCTGCTTCTATAGCATCTGATTCTTATTGCAACGTGGTACAAAAGTTTACCCTTAAAAACTAGGCCTGATTTCCTTTCTAAAATATTGCAATGATTACAAGTTATGACATATTTATCCAGAAAATGAAATAACCAAATAATATTACACCTCCTAAAATATATGGATATAGAGCATCACATACAATTATGGCACAATAGCTAATTCCTGAATGCCACGTGGTTTTGTCTGTAATGAACAATGATTGCTATACAAATAATTACTGCTTAACTTGCATGGCTTCACATTTGTGCTCTTGTAGTTTTGCAGTAAACAACTTTAAGAATACAATGTTAACTCTGTTTCTTATCTCAGTTGGATGTTTTTAATATTATTTATTATTGGGCTCAATGCTCACTGCAAGAACTGTTAAATACCTATTAAAATATGAAAAGCTAAATTTTCTTTGTCACAGAAAAATGTTTTTATAATAAAATCAGAAGAACTAGCTTTTTCTAAATTTCTCATACTTTGGATATAGGTTTAGATATAGATATCAAGACTTATATTTACGGTTTACTAATAATTAATTCCACTCCTTTCCCAGACATACATGATATGAAAAGGTTTAGTGGATCTTTTCTGCACAGAATAGTTTTCCAATTGCATGTTTATCAAATTATTACCAAACCAAAACTATGGGAGAAACATCTCAAAAACAAATAAATGCCAAAAATAAATAAATGTGGGAGGAGGAGGAGGAGGAGGAGGAGGAGGAGGAGAAAACTATTGTAGAAGTGGAAAATGGGAAGGAAGAGTGAAATGTCAAGGAAAACAATATGAAAAAGAATTTTTAAAGAAATTTTTAATTTTTCCCACCACGAGTTCTTGAAATCTCTGAGGATAACTCCATTAGTTATATGAATATATGAGATTGAGTGTATGGTATAGAAATGTGCCTAGGTGCTTTCAGTAAACTTGTAGAAAAGTCATATATAATTGTTAAGAATCTGTTGTGAAGAAGCAGCTCAAATATCTTTCTTTTCAACAAGTATTATATTCACAAATGTATAACCCCACAAAGGGGATTATATATTCGCAAATCCTTATTTCTCCCTTTTTCATTGGGTGTTTCTTATGAACTTAAGAAGTTCAGCTTTTAATGTGGGAATATTTGTGCTTGTCTGCACACAGAAGCATTCAGTGTTAAGGCCTATGGTTGAGTTTATTAGAAACATAGTGATCTGCTTATAGAAATCAGGAATGCTACAGCTAATCACGAGTTATGAAGCATCTGCACATTGTAATGGCAGATACAACCTGATTTATTTCCCAAGGGAAGTGGGTAAAGCTGAAGAACTTAAGTGTTTTCCTCCTAACTATTTTTATATCCAAGCTTCCCCGATCAATTTTTTTTTATGAGAAGAGAGTTGGTTTTAACTCCTTATATTTTAAACAAAAATGAAGTCTGTAATAAAGGATTTTTTGTGTGTGCGTGTAAGGCTATATCTTTGTAGACAAACTTTTAAGGAAGATATTTGATAAGGTAGCATGGTTTAGCTCTATGCATA